GGGCCCTCTGGGTCGGCAAGAGACTTTGTTCAGCAGGCTTGGAGAAATATCCAAACTGTCGTCGTTGTACTGGGGAGGTCGAGACCATTGGTCACGCCTTTTTCAGTGCAAGACGGTAGTGCCGTTGTGCAGGTTTGTTGAAGGCCCCATGGTTCGCATGTTGCAGGGAAAGTTTTTTTGTCCTGGAAGCCAGTTCTGTTTGTAGCAATGTGGTGCCGCAATTGACGAAGGAGGAGCACTATGTGTTCTGTTGCTTACTAGGTGTTATGAGAGTCGTGATTTGGACGACGCGTCAGAAGGAATTCTATGATCGTGAGAAGTTCACCTTTTTCCCAACTGATCTTGTTCTTTAAGCATCAGCTTAAAGTCAAGATCAGGACGGAAAGGCGGCGGCCCTTCATCAGAATTTGGCAAAAGGTGGGTAAATCTTGCGCGAATGTGTAGAGTGAAAGGGGCTGACCTAGAGTGGCACTTGGATGTCGGTTAGGTACAGGATTTTGTCCTAACAGGGTTGAACAGAAGCAACCCATCCTGATATTAGGTTAGTTTAGGTTCTTGTGTTTGATCTTTTAGTTTTTCTTTTTTTTTTTTCTGGTTAACTTAGCTAGGTGTGCATGCGCATTGGCCCCTTTTATTTCTGTCCCTATTTTTCTTTTGTTTAAACTCCCATCCCTCCCTCGTTAGGGTGGTCAGTGATGTCAGTTCTCTGGTGGATGCGGGACGCCTTTCGTTTCGTATGTGTGATTTTTCGTATTTGTTGTTGTGTATGAATGTGTGTGTGTCTGTGTGAATGATTGGAGGAATGATTGTGTTCCTTATTTTTTCATAGTCCCGCATTGATTTCGTCCGGTTAACTGATGTTTCTGCCACATTTATGGTTTGTGGGGGGTTTTATTACTAACACAAGTTTTGTTTATTTTCTTGTAAATATTAAGGCATATTGTACAGACTCATTTGGGGATCTTTTTATAAAAATTGTTGTTTTATGCCCCTCCCCCCACGAACAATATTTGTACATAGGGGGATTAGTTAGGATTTCATAGAGAATTTGAGGTATTATGGTGGACGTAGTAAGAAAGGTATGAGTGAATGTGTTGTTTTGGTGATAGGAATATTGTTGGTTTGTTTGGGTCCGTGTCTGGGTCTAGCTAAGGTTAAGAATTAAGACAGAAGAAGACCGTCCTTCCCCATCCCCCTTTTAGGCCTTGTGCCACATTTTATACCTTTTTGTATAAATAAATATCCAAACTTTCCCTGACGATCCGTTTAGGTGAAACCTAGGTAGGTTTGTCTGGCTCACTAGGTGTATCTAGGTCTGCTCTACGGTTGTATTGAGCTCTTTTGTTAGTTAGTTGTTACTCGTATCGGGGTTTTTTCTTTGGGCTTCAGACCTGCATCTGTGCGATTTTTTGTCGGCAGAAGTTCATGTTTGTAGCTCTTTTCTTTTTTAAACCTTTTTTTCCTCGAGATATATATATATATATATATATATATATATATATATGCATAATTGTATGTATGTGGCTGACATTTTCCGTTTATACAAGTTTGGTTAAAGACCTACAAAAAGTTCTTTTTTGGTTATTTTTTTCTATCTTTACGACCACTTTTCTAACTTTCGGGAAAATTATAAATATAAATTGTCCAATTCGGCTTTAATAAGCCATTATCAAAGAGTATTTATTTTGTGTTATGTGTTTTCAAGTATTGCGTTTTGCAAAATCTTTCTGTTCTCATGTCATTTTATCTTGCTTTTACATGCATACGCATACTCTCTCTCTCTCTCTCACACACACACACACACACACACACACACACACATATATATATATATATATATATATATATATAGAGAGAGAGAGAGAGGGGGGGAGAGAGAAGAATGTGAATTCTATATTTTCTAAACTTGTCTGCTTTTGCTGTAAGGCCAAATGTAAGGGAAATTGTGTTAAAAACATTTGTTACGTCAATCCTCGATAAAGACATGCCTACCTAGCATTTTAATATTCGAAATACTGCTACTTGCATGGACTCAAATACCGACAACTGGCGTTGATTGAGAATTACCTCGCCGTCTAAGTCACCAGGTAAAACAACTTCATGTTGTATCATTTGTTTGATTTCATTGCAACAATCAAAATTATATCCGCTTTGGCTCGTGCGTTGTTGCGAGGGAAATAAATCAATAATGTTTTAGATTGATGACAATCAGCAAATCAATAACAAGATTTAGTGTCACAAATATACAAACGAACTTGGCTATCACGCAATATAGCCACACATTTAAATGTTCTTATAAATGATTAAAAATGGATCGATGTTGCGCAAAACCTATCGAAGGGAGGCACTTACATACAATCAATCAGAACAAATCCCTGCAATGAAGTAATGCACTTAAAATATACACTCAAAAGATGGGAGAGGATTTCCACATTGCTCCAACAATGCCAAGAAATCTTTCAGACTTTGAAAGGGTCTTTCTTTGAATTTGAATAAAAAAGATGATTTTCTTTCTTTTCAAACTTACTCTCACAGAATATATATATATATATATATATATATATATATATATATATATATATATATATTTATATATATATATATCTTTATCTTATAGGCGAAGAATTGTCAGAATCGGAGATAGAGTTTTGATAGATGGAGATAGAAATCAATAGAGCATGTCAAGTGTTTCTGGCTGAATGCGCTCTTCTGGCCAAGTTTGAATATCGCATTGAAACATTAACGTTCTCTCTCTCTCTCTCTCTCTCTCCTCAGTCTCCCTTCTTTACCTCTCTCGATCTTTCTGATATATATATATATATATATATAGAGAGAGAGAGAGACATACACACACATACAATCGACAGTTTCTACATTTACGTGCGTACAAACACACATACCCCCTCTCTTTCTCTGTCTCACACACACACACACACACACACACACACACACACACACACACACAGAAAGAGAGAATACGCGTGTGTGTACATAAATATAGAATCTTGTTTGTAGCATATGTGCGTATATATGCTAAAATATCCAAAGGCAATAAAAATTTCGCCCGCTCGAATTTTGAAATAAATTATATTTCTCACCTACATCCCTCAAATCCAAACTTCTGATAAGTCCAGTGATTTTCCGAAAGCTAATCTGTTGCGGCCAGCAGATTTCATTTGATGAGTTACGGTCCAAACAGGGTGTGTACCCGACCCTCTCCCCATCATGTCACCCTAAAAGCCTTCAACACAGTCTCATCATAAGAAAAGTGTTAGAAGAGGTAGCAGTAGAGATAGAGATATCAAAAATTTAGTAAGCGAAAAGCGAGGTACCTAGATGTGGGTAGGTAATAGGTAGCATGTCAAACATTAGAAATTACCTCGAATCTATCGGAGACCGGTACCAACCAGTATGGAACTGCCTGAATCTAGTACAGAATGTTTCAGCTGTTGTTTTTGACATTACAACGTGTCTCGTAGAGTTGAAGATTTGCAAGGTCAACGAATATGACATTTACACAGTGATGGCGCCGATCAGTATTAGTAGAAATATGTTCAAATCTGAAAACAGTTACACATATTTTTCCACCTGTTTTATCTTAAAACACAAGCACAAAACAAACAAGTTTTTCACTTCATATTTTTATAACTTGTATCATATTATGTTCCATATACGACTTTTGTACTTTGTAGATTATGTTAAACCTCAAATGTAAAATGCACAATTTATCGATCTGTCTATAAAGAATTAATGGATTTATTTTTAATCGATATTTTTCCTTATATATACAAATTGTAAGACTAAAAGCTAAAGCTTAAAATATGCTAAAAGCTTAAAATCTAAAATAAACTGAGGGTCAATGTCAAAGCCAAGAGAACCTAAATAAATATAATAATAATAATGATGGTATCAATCCAATAATAACAATAATAACAAGTTCTGCACGTCTGAGTTTCATGTCATAACAACAATCAGGCCGAAATTATATTAAATTGATTAAATTTCCGTAGGGGACTCGGGTTCGAATCCTGCTGCACGGCGCATATTTTCTAACAAGATTTCTCGAATATTCAGACATGTAAGCATGATGATTTTGTTTAATTTTTAGTACAAGTAACTTCTTTTCTAGATTGATGAATGTAAATATTGTCCAAGAGGTCTGTTGGTTCCGAGAGCAACAGGGCTCTGTAACATGGCACACAAGCTTGAGAACGCAGTCGTAGATGTCAGGCAATTTCTGCGATCACATCACCCCTTACATCTGGCCGCCTAACTCCCTAGGCTGAAACCCACTTGATTATTATATATATATATATATATATATATATATATATATATATATATATATATATACACAGCCGAGTAACCTGCACCTTACTGAGTGTCACACAATTTTGTATGAAAATGATGTTTGATCTTAAACTATTGTTATAATTTGTGGAGTAAATGATGCATTTCATTATTACTCAATTACCCATTGATATGTATTTGATGCAATATTTGATTGAATATATTGATGAGCAGATTCCACATCCATATTGTCTGATTTTGATCTTGCCGATGTGACCTCCATCTTCTGGCTTTCTCCTTCTATATTTTGGATAGGAGTCATTCCTGTGTTCTAATTTAAATTTAAATCAAATGGGAAAAATT